GGGTGCAGACTTGGACGATCATATGTGGTTGCCATGCGGCCGTATTGATTTCAATGGGGTTACATCCGCATGGTAATATGTACCTTTTTTTTGCGGCACGCACTATGCAGTGTTTTAAGCCACGATGATGTGCGATTGCACGGGCGGTATTGCAGCAGGAAACCGCACAATCTACCTGGTGCGACTGGGGTGCTATTAGACAATAATGGTGCTGCCAGCGCAATCAGTGGTGGTGTGCGATTCTGTGACCGCCTGGCCACACGTTTTTGTGCACAATTACCGTGCGGTAACTGATCGCCCACTCCGCTCACACGCACAATGCCCCATGCATGTGTTTATTCACATGCAGATGATAGGTGCAGCGTGGTTGGTTTTATTTTTAGATTTGATTTTACTTTTTTTTTTTCTTTAATATTTTTTTTGTTTTAATTATCATTTATTTTTACTTTATCACCTTTTTTTAGTTTTCCCATTTTTATTAGTTATTTTTTCAATTCTCCTTTATTTACATTTTTAATATATATTTTATATAGAGAAACGTTTTCTACCCTGCTCCGCGGTGTCTAACCTAATTTGCCGTGGTCACGGGTCTCCCAAAACAGCGGGGGGCCCCGAGCACCACGTCAAAAAGGAAGCCCGCATGCAGATAGAGGGAGTCGGGAGCGGTACACCCCCAGACGCCGGCAATAGATAGAGAGGGGGAGGAGAGAGAGGGGAGGAAGATTCAGGCAGGTTACGAGTGATTTTTGGACGCCTGTACAGCCGTTCAAGATATCTTGTATGAAAACAGCTCTCACACTACATTTAGCCGGCTGCCTGCCCTCAGCCAGGCTAAGTGTAGAAAAAAAACTACTCGCCCGACGCCCGAAACTGCTTGTCCCATAAAGACATGGATGATAATAAGAGCCTAAATGGTTGCAATTTTGTAAAAAAAAATGAAGGACAATGAAAAAGCTTTTGAATCACAAACCAGTAGAGGAATTCACAGGGTAGCTATCTGCCACCCCACTAGTTTTTATTTTTGTTTTTATGGGCACAATGCATATTTCCGCTAATCATTTGTTTATAGTATTTTCCCCAAAAATTACCTGCACTTTATTTCCTTCAATCTGGGGAGATCAATTGTAGCATCCTTTATTTAGTAAAGTTAAATCCTAACTGAATGACATTTAGTATGCTAAAGCATTGTGTATAATATTTTATTAAAATGACCTCCTTGTCTATACCTTTTTTCATCCTTTTTTGTAACTTAGTGCTGCTAATCTCCTGCATGCTTATTTAGCCACTTCCTGTCTTACACCAAAAGGCTGTATGGCATTTCTCAGGGCTGTTTTCCTGAGGGTGACAACAATGGACCATGCCTGCATAATGTGTGTTGAAATGACCACTTGTAATATTCATTTAAAGCCTGTGTGACAGAGGGACCCAAACAGTTTAGACAGTTACAGAGCACTGTAACCATATAAAGATGGACCCTCATGGCACACATTAAGAGCAATTGAGTTGGCATTGTGTTGCATTGATGTGTGTTTTGTTCCACAACAGAAACCAAAACACTTTAGTTTGCTTTCTTAATGTGCACTGCAGCTCGCTGTGACACGTTGTAGTAGTACACGTAGTGGTAGGCAGCTCTGTGATTATATGCAGCATGTTCCATTTTCTCCCAGTGCACATCAACACCATGGTATGAACTGGGCCTACATATGGATTTCAGCTCGTCATTGCAGTGGGCCTGCATTGAGCAATGCAGGCCTAACAGAGATGGTGTGAATGGGCCCTATCATAATACAGCTTATGTGTTTTTCCTGACTGGATGTACTTTAAGACACATCCTTTTCCTTACTGCGCACACTGCATTTCACTATAATATGAAAATGGACTCCATCGTGCTGACTTCTATAATCCAATAATGTTTTTTATTTTTATTCTCCTAGCAGGTGATTGGGTATTGCTGCAAAGTGAATTTTCACTACATTCACTAAGGTAAGTGAAAATTCCCTTGCAAAGTGAACAAGTTTCACTCCTTTGGTGCACCAGCCACACTGCTATTTTACTAAGTTTTTTTTTTTTTCCCTCCATTTTCACTTAGAGTCGTATTCAGCTGGGAAATATCCAACACACAAACAGCAGAATCAGCAGCATGGCCAAGAGATTGCTGGAGAAAGCTCACTTTGACTAATTTTACTCAGAGGCTGTGACTTCTTATAAGATAAAACATTAATTTTTAGGTGGAGGTAAAAGAGGGACAATGTTTGCTCTGTACAAGGATACTAAGGACAGGTATTTCAAAGGAAACGAAGGTTGACAAAAATATGGAGGCTCAACTTTTTCTAAA